TTGATAGAGTCAAGTGAAGTTATTGAGGTATGTCTTCTTGTATAAGGTTTCAAAAATGGATTAGATTGTTTAAAAAGTGCTATTTTACAGTGCACAAAGAATGTGGCTTAGAGCAAAATTGAAAAGACGTGGGTGCAGCAACGATGCTGTGACTCCAAAACGCTTGGGAAACTCTGGACTAGGATATTTGAAATTCATGTACATATTATATAAAGTGCATTCAAAGGATCAAGAGACTAATATTTATTATTGGAAGGGGGATTAGGATGATTGCTAGGTGTTAAGAGAAAATGTAAAGATATGTGTTTATTATGGCATGTAATTGACTAGGACAGAGGCTCCCAGACTGTGTCCTGCTGCAACCTGAAGTGTTAAAAAATGAATGGACTTAATGCAAGCCATTTATAATTAAGTTGGTATTTTTCACTAGTTCTCCAACCTACTACTACTGTTTGGATAATGTTACGACGATCACAGATATATATGGTTTGTTATTAGGTACTTTGACACAAAATTTAAATATTGTCAAATTGCCATGAATGATACATCATTTTAAAGGGCCGGCTATAAGCTTTACAACAACACCAATTTCATCTTTCTATCTTTTATAGAAGTGGAGTTATGATTTTTTAGGTGATTTTTAAACACCCCCTTCTTTATCTTAGCATTAAACTGAAAAAACGTGACCAACTTTCAAAATTTCTGCCTTATTTTAACCAAAACGTTTTGATTTTAAAAGATAATGCTACCAAATTTTCAGGAGACATTCTCAATGCAATATACAGTATAATAAACAACAAAACTTTTATATAAAATTAAGACTTTTATTTTTTTATAAATTTATTTTTGGGTATGTTCAAAAAAAAGTGAACAGAAAAATTGGGAAAATCAATATATATACAGGAAAAAACGAAGAAAAAAAACCCCCACCATATGTCCATATTTATTATTATTTATTGAATTTTAACTAATTTTATTATGCTTGTGTTAATTTTAAATCAATTATTATATTTATTAAAAGGTAAGTAGTCTTTTTTATTTATAAAATTGAAAGCATGTAATTATAGATAAAAATTACTCAAATATCATCCATGATGACAATATGATAATGATGAGACTAATTCATTTAAAAAAATTATTTTATATATTAAATAATTGTCTATGTACTGCTTTTCTATGTCCTAATAAAAATATAATTGCTATGATGATGTTGTTTGAGTCTTGTTTATTAATTTGATGTATTTTAATAAAACTGTTATATATATATATAGAACTTATAGGCTTGTAATTAGGGTAATAGAATTAGTAAGAAAAATTAAGCTTAGGCCTAAATAGGATTATAATAAGTTGTTTATAATTATAATTGATAATGATAAGTAGGCCTAATTTTAGTAATATTCTCTGAAATAATTAATAAGAGAAAAACGATTATTATTATCGATATTACTATGTAAAACTATTAAATATTGATTCAATAATGAATGAACGATAAACTGTGTACCGGTACCCTACACAATTTTTAACGTAATAAATAAAACTTAAAACCAACCCTTGGTTACTATATAAACTTTTCAAGTTTGCTTATAATCTTTTCTTAAAATGATTCATTTTAAGCGTCTTATAATTATTTAGATGTTTAAGGATTTAACATTAACGAATAACAGTGATAGCAGCCATTTCCGGCTTCTCTATTATTTTATATATTAAATAATTGTCTATGTACTGCTTTTCTATGTCCTAATAAAAATATAATTGCTATGATGATGTTGTTTGAGTCTTGTTTATTAATTTGATGTATTTTAATAAAACTGTTATATATATATATAGAACTTATAGGCTTGTAATTAGGGTAATAGAATTAGTAAGAAAAATTAAGCTTAGGCCTAAATAGGATTATAATAAGTTGTTTATAATTATAATTGATAATGATAAGTAGGCCTAATTTTAGTAATATTCTCTGAAATAATTAATAAGAGAAAAACGATTATTATTATCGATATTACTATGTAAAACTATTAAATATTGATTCAATAATGAATGAACGATAAACTGTGTACCGGTACCCTACACAATTTTTAACGTAATAAATAAAACTTAAAACCAACCCTTGGTTACTACATAAACTTTTCAAGTTTGCTTATAATCTTTTCTTAAAATCATTCATTTTAAGCGTCTTATAATTATTTAGATGTTTAAGGATTTAACATTAACGAATAACAGTGATAGCAGCCATTTCCGGCTTCTCGGTCAAAATAAAAAAATAATAATTTCATACCCCCCACTTATTCGCGGGTTGCATAACTTCTTATCGAGACCTCAACGATAATAACTCAAAAAATGAAAAAGCTCTTACAATGAATGTAGATTAGGGAGCACTAAACCTTATTTTGGTGGCTTTACTAGTAAAAAAGTATTTATGCGATTTATATACTAACCGGTTTAGAATTGACCTACAATCATAAATTTAGTATCAATGAATTGCATTTTTCAGGCCCTATCTAACCAACTAGCTCTTAAAGCTATAAATTCATTTTGAAAATTTTATCCAAGTACCTATTACTTGGTACTCTTCTGTTCTTATTAAAGTAGCAGTTGGTTTTGTGCAGCGTCCATGCTGTATCAATTAAATATTGTTTTGATAGAGTCAAAGTCAAGTGAAGTTAATGATTAATGAGGTATGTCTTCTTGTATAAGTATAAGGTTTCAAAAATCGATTAGATTGTTTAAAAAGTGCTATTTTACAGTGCACAAAGTCAAAGAATGTGGCTTATTAGAGCAAAATTGAAAAGACGTGGGTGCTCAAGTGGTAGATTACCTATAGCCTATAGAAATATGACACATTTCTCGATTGATAGTAATGGCTCTAAGATGGCGAACCAACAGGAAGTTATCCGTCATAACCGTCATGTGACCAACCGAATATTATAAAGCCCTCACGTGACCAGCCGGGTCCGAATAGCTAATTACTACTATAGGTACCCGGGCCACTTCGTGTATATATATATATATATATTATATATTATATATATATTATTTATATATATATATATTATATAATTAATGTTATGTTATATGTATGTCGATGATTTTATGAGTAAAATCTTGGACCAAATGATATAGGAGCAAAATGTTGGTAAACCTACGTCGTTTAAGGAACCTATGATTTTTTCGTGTTTTTTTACACGGTAATTAACCGTAATATGTACAAAATTGAAAGAATAGAAAAGCCCCCAGATAAAGATTTATTATTAGGTCATATCACATTTTGAACCCAAACTTAATGCGTGTGATTTCGTAATTAAAAGCATGCTTTTGAGTGCTTCCGTTCAATTTTTTCCCTTGCCCTTAGCCCTTAGGCCTTAGGCCTTAGACCTTAGACTTAGGACACTTAGGAACTTAGGTATATTAAATTAAAGTCAAAGTACTCATTACTGTCTCATTACTCAATCTCAAAGTTAAAGATTTAGACTTAGACTATTTAGAGGCTTTTGTTTTACTACTTATAGTTTATAATAATACTTTTTTTAGTAGTAGCCTACTATACTATACTATCAAAAGACTATTCACAAAGACTATATTTATTCACTTTAGACATAGATTTCCTGCCCTTACTTTAGTACGTTGCAATAACTTATAACAAAACAATAACTACTAAACTTACTATACTTATACTCTAGGTTTTACTTTGTAACTTTGTACTAGTATAATTATATAATTAAAATATACTTAATATATAATATATTAAATTATAACTTATTAAGTAGGCTTGGGCATTCTTTGGCTACAGTTTTATTGTATCTTTAAGTATATAATTAATAATATATTATAATGATATTGATATAAATAATATAATAATTATGTCATGTATATATCTGTAGAGCCTCACACACTGTAGGCCTACGCCTACTTATTAATTTATATAATATAGTCCTAGCCTAACTTGTTCCTGTAACTTAAGTTAGTGTAGTATAGTGTAACTGAGTAACTTTTTAAGTGTTAAATTTTAAATCATAATCAGTATTAATCACTTACTCAAAGTCAAGTCTTAATTTGCAATGCCAATGCAGTACTGTGCTGAAAGTGTTGAGTGACACTGACAGTGTCATTAGATGCTATTTATGTCATGATGTTTTTAACTGACACCCCTTCCTGCACCATTGTCACAAATTGTAAAATTAGGCACATCGCCACAAATTTATGACCCCCCCACCCGACATGTGATGCTGCTTATGGATGGCACCTTAGATCTACTAGTGTTGGTGTCACTGTAAAGTAGGGCCCATAACTTAATACGTTTAACTTAAAGTGTAGCATAGTCATAATAATAATTTAGTAGTATGTAGGCAACGTTTAAAGTGTAGCATAGTCATAATAATAATTTAGTAGTATGTAGGCATTATCAGTTATTTTTATATTTCTTTCTTTCAACGTTAAGCAAGGATAAAGGACAGCTGTTAAGTTGCTATTGCCATACAAATTGAAAAGTTTAAGCTGGTGAATGAAATGCTCTCAACACTGGATACAGTGAAATATTATTTTACAGATTTACTGAAACTTTAAGGACTGAGGCTTACAATTATAATTTATTTAGCTTACTTTTGACTCAAACATCTAACATAACTTGCAACCGCAGTCATTGACTTTTTGAGAATGAGTCTCCTTGAACTTCCAAATGAGGTTCTTGAATACATTCTTAGGTTTTTACCTGTTCATTCAACTATTTCTGTTAGCAAGACTTGTCGGAGACTGAATGAAATTTCTAAAATTGATACTTTGTGGCAGCATTTTTGTCTGACAGGTAAATCATGTCTTTAGCAAACTTAATTTTGTTTAAATAGAAAATTTAATTAGAATTATTGAGCATATACAAATTATTAGATTACTGTAATCTATGTTCATGGGATTAAAGTATTTGGGGGTAACATAACAAAACATTTCCATGTTGTCCAAATTACTTTGTTTCTATTCTTGTATTTATTTTATGCATTCAGATTATCAAGTTAGCTGTAAAACTGGTTGGGATATTTCATTCCAAGATATCTACTCGAAAGGTTAGCAATTGATTTTATGCAAATGTTTACTCTTATAAAGTAGTTGCATCAGTAGGGGTGAGTCCCTATAATTGATAATTTTGGCCTGCTCATTGACACTACCAAGAAGAGTCTTAGCCTGCTCCTCTTTAGCGTAACAGCCTCAAACTTTCCCAGGGAAAGTTTGCAAATGAGTGAGTTCTAATGAAGTAGTATTATAGATAATTTGATACAAATGAGCCATGCTTAAAAAATTGTTTTTGTAACTAACTACAGAGATATTTATTATACTAAAATAAGATAATTTGGCTAAATTTGCACTCAGATTTTATAGACAGCATTCTGATGGTCCACACATTTTGTCACTGATATATATATACTACACTCAAATCCGCTTATCTCGACCTCGGTTAACTCGCCAACCCTGTTATCTCAACGTCTTTGAAGTGGAACCGCAAAATTCTCTTTTTCTTTTGTCTTAGCATTTACTCCTCGGTTTTCTCGATCATCGGTTACCTCGACGCTTTTTGGCAAACCCTGAGGCCGTCAACATAACCAAGTTCTACTATAAATACATTTCTTGTGGCACTTGCAGCAGAGTTTAAGAAAAAATGACAGAGTCTGTAACTATAATGATTATGTGGTGTCCCAACTCTAAAAATCTGGTTCTGAACAACTATTCAAGAAATGTGATTGTCTTTGGCAATAAAACTGAGATGACAGCCAGGATTTCCACCATAAAATGACTGAATGCACATAACATTCTTATTGTACTTGCAGAATAAGAATGTTTTCTAAACTATAAATTGTTCATTTTGGTCATACGTAAAAGTACAGTTTAAAAAACAAATGGTTGAAATGATCTGCAAAGCTTTTGATAATGGTAGTTGCAAATGTTACATTTTTAAAAATAACTAGAATCACTGTAATGTTAAATTTTTAAAAATAATAGCATCCAATGAAAAGAATTACCGGTATCCTAAAAATAGCTTTTAAGGCATACCTTAAAAGTCAAGTACAAAACAGCTTAAATTTTCTTTAAAAAATTTGATAAGTGAGAGAAATTCATACAAATAATATATATAAAATAAATGGTGCTAAATAAAGATTAAAAGATGAATAAAAACAATTAGAGGGAGGCTTGGTCAAAACTGATAATAATAAATAATCATAGAGGGTTATATAAAAAGGTATTGTGGAAATAGGAGTTGATTGAATGGAGTGTTACATAAAAGGCTGAAAGAATTGTCAATTTTATCAAAAATACATCAATAATGTTTGGTGTGCTGTTGTTGGTTGAGATATAATATTTTAATATGCTATATTATTATTTTTAAAATTATTTTTGCTCCACAGTTTTGAAGAACTATGGGTTTTTTGGCTGGAAACGACTGGCCTTGATTCCATATGGTGGACTTGTTCATGTTTGTGTTAGTAAATAATTTCTTATCATTATAATTATTGACTAAATAATAAACACTGGAATAAAAAAAGCTCTTTTCTTTATGAGATGAGAGTCAAAAGCTCAATCAAGTTTAGCAGATGTTACATTACCTGGAATACCTTTTGCCTGAAACAACAAAAGGAAAGATTATGGTAATAATTTATTCATATCTTTGGTCTCTACAGTGGGTACAAGGAGAAATTGAAATCGGTGCTTATGTACCCATCTCAGAAATCAGACCAGATGATGGCCTATCATGTGAAAAACTGTTCTCAATTCAATGGAATGAAAACACAGCAAATGTGGAGTTACTATGTATGCAGAACAGGTCAGGGCCTAAACCTGCTTTACTTATACAGGTTAGGCATTTTTTACAATTTCGATTTTAATAATGTCATCCATTTTATTATTATTATTATTATTGGTGTTTTTTATTTAGCGCTGTACATACAATTTAACAAACATAATCATGAACTTAAAAATTAACATACATTAGTTAAATAAAACAAAACAAATGTATATTGAATCCACCCATTCCATAACTATTTACAAGTCAAGCCATGGACGGCACCCAGCAGCATCATTTATCAATCAGAGGAGGGAATCAGTCAGGATAGTAGAGTTTAAAGAGATGTGTTTTGAGTGCAGTTTTGAAGGCTGTGATGATCGTTATATTGTTGATGTGTAGTGGAAGAGAATTCCATTGTTTGGGGGCACAGAAAGAGAACGATCGTTCACCGTATGTTTTTGTGCGAGTCTTGGGGACAGAAAGAATACAGGCATCTGCGTAGGAGTGAAGCTCTTGAAGGGGTGAATAGACAGAGAGAATTTCAGTTAGATAGGAAGGGGAGGAATTCGAGAAAAAGTTTGTGGCAGAGAACAGAGAGTTTGAAGTCAATCCGTGCTTGTACAGGGAGCCAATGAAGTGAATGAAGTAGTGGTGTGACATGATCACGGTTTTTTGCCTTTAGAATTAGACTAGCAGCTGAGTTTTGAACCTTTTGTAATTTTTCTAAGAAGTGTTTTGGTTCTAGGTCCAAGTTTATGTTTAGATCAGGGCATTATTACATCTTGTATACAATTATTATTCTTTCTATTTTGTTTTTAGTTCTTGACTTAGAAATTTCATCCTATATCACACTGCATCACACTGTAAAAAGAAAAACCATACATTTTTTTAGCAGTAATTCATTTACCTATCAATAACATTTAAAAGTAAAAATAAAAAAACTTAATTTTACTATGACATTTTTTGAATATCTTATCACAGCTGTGTTATTTATTTTTTTTTATTTTAAACAAAATTTGTTGTTGATGTCATCCAATACGTATTTGCTTTCAGGGAGGAAAATATCCCCTACTAAAATGTGCTGACAATGAATGCTACAAAAACCACAAGAGGAAGGTAAATTACTTAACAATTCTTTTCAAATCATATATATATGTTGTTTTTTTTTACATGCTTGGGTAAAAATTTTTTTAAATATTTTTTTTAGCATATTGAAATATTGTGAACTATTGGATAAATCAACACAAATTATTATAAAATGATTTCTTATTTTATTTGACATCACTATGATATAGAACTTGACTAGTATAGTGAAAACTTTATTATCTACACTAAACGTGTATTCCAGAAAATATTTGGATATTGATGATATAATATACTAATAAAATATTTTAAAATTTGTTAAAAAATTTAACCCTTAACTTAAAAAAAATTTGCAGCATGGTTTTTGCAATTAGCCATCCATTGACCTAAATCTAAATGATGCTGTGAAGATGTTTCCTTTCCATACCAATTGCACATTTTTTGGGTCTCAAAATAGGAGTTCAGATATCCAAACGTCTCGATAACTGGTAACAGGGTGATAGTGAGTTTCTACTAGCATAAACCAAGTACGACTAAGCCACAGCTGTATAAGATTAGTGTTGACACAACATGCTGAAGCAGAGAACTTATTACCAAAGCTTTGTGTCATAAAAGATATCTTCTTCTTACAGGTTGAATCAAGCAAGTATAGGACCAATCGAAGGTTCACATGTGGATTTAAGGATTATGAGCATGCATTCAGTAACTGTGATTTACACCAAGGGTAAGCCAATGTTTAAATCTCTGCCTGCTTTGTGTTAATGTCTAAATTTTCAAAACTGGCTCATCAAGAATGTGTCCCTAAATGTAGCTTCGCAATATTAAATCTTATTTTTGTTTGGGGTCGAGCCATAATTTATACCACTTACTTAACGGAAATCACATCAATTATCTCATGTGGAATAATTAAGCAAGCATCTAAAATTTGTTAGGTCTTCACATTTTTATGGATCATAATACACAGAAAAAAATTCATTAAAAAATTAAAGTTCCACAAATCATTTATAAAAACCATCTCTTCATTGAAAAACTAAGCAAAGCAACTTTAAAGAGCTTTTCTTCTTGAAAGCACCTATTAAAGCTGTAAAGTTGAAGGTGCTGTTTTAATTAATTTTCTTTGTTGTAGAACTAAAATATTTCACTATTATAAAATTATGTAAAAAGATCCCCTCTTTTATATTTGATATTATAAATGAATTTTGTAATAGTAAAGAGATGATATTAGCTAATGCCAATCTCAATCCGTGGCATAAAATTAGATGCCAGCTGCATTTCCAAATTATTTATTTAATTATGTACAAACCAAATATAGCACTCCATATTCTCCAGGAGGATCACTTAAAACTTTGTATACTTACAAAGGTCGTAGGTTAGATATCTCTGGAGATTAATAAGTACCCTTGACTTTAAAACTAAAATAAATCCTAACATAGTTTATGTGAAATTATAGGAACTGTTTTAATCATGTGTCTTGTTTCTCTAAAGTTTCAACGTTCCACTACTACCACTGTGTTTTCCAACTTTGGCTGATCAAAGGAGGAGCCCTATTCAGTTGGGATTGTATGCAGCCAGCTACGGACCACATGGTGTTGAGATACTAAATTTCATGATGAATGAAGCTAATCCTTTCATATTGGAAGGGCTAAAAATTTCTGTAATATTGAAATCTTTTCATTCTCCTCTACAAATATAGTAAGGCCAAATATCCTCTAACAAAATTGTATACCTGCACTCAATAGATAGCATATGAATCTCAAGAATCATTTGTGACAATGTACAAAGCTTTTTAAAAAACACATTTATGTATTTAAATATATCCATTTCATTGTATTTCATTGTAAATTAACATGGAACTGGAGCAATATTTATCACAAAGGGGATAGAAAATCTCTAAGTTTGGAGGCACATGCCTCCCTATCATTTTTATAATTGCCTATTTCAGTCAAGGGGGTGGTGTGATATATTACTATAAATAACTTTCAACATTTTCTTCACTCTCCTGGAAAAAAAATGGGTCAGGTATTGTTATATACTGAGAATAAAAGTGAAGTTATTATTTTTAAATCTAATTCATGCACATATTTTGTTTTAATTTTTTGATTTTATAATTATTTAAAATTTAACCGAGTAAGTTTACCAAGTACTTCAGGAACCTTCAAAGTAATTCTTCCCATTCTTTCATACCAAGGGTGACCCCAATGTTCCAGCTGGTAATATCAGCGTGGAAGTGTACTTAGACAAACCTGTAATCTTGGGAGCAGATGACCAAGACTCTATTGAGGCCATGATCCTAGCAGATATTTCAAGGGATGAGGGAAGCTACCAGGCTTTACTCAACTCAAGCAATAACAACATACACATGAGGCAGCCTTTTTCTCTCCCTTCAGGAGTAGTTGATAGGTCAGAGAATGTTCCGCAAGCTTGTACTGCCAGGTGGGTAACAAAGTCTTTTGTTGTGTAATTTAACTAAGACTTGTTTACACTTTACACCTCTTTTTTTAAAAAAAACAAGAGGAAGGGTGTTTATTAAAAAATTGTATCTTTCCATTATTTTAATTGTAATAGAAAGGTACTGAAATCTTACATAAATTTCAGTGATCAAGTAATAGTTCTGTATTATTTTAAGTAAAGAACAATACATACGAGACATTCTAAATATAATTGGATTTCTTTACCCTCAGGTATTTAGCGTGCGGTACAATAGCAGGAGACTTGTTCACTTCCCCTGGTAAATGCAGGTGCCATTTTGTAAAGTTTGGTGACACGTTCTTTGGAGTTCTCTGGCTAGAGCTGTTCTGTTTTAGTGCCTTCCACAAAGTATCGACAATACCAGCACCATCTAGGAGTTAACCAGCTTAAAATAAGGAGGTAACCGGTGCCATGTAAGGAGCGAACTTAAGGTAAACGAAGCTGAAGCACCACAGGCCAAAATTTGTTAGCAGGTCTCAATGGGGATATAGGCATTAAATTGATCGAATACTGTTTCAGCTGCTTGCCTCATTAAAAAAATGAATAGTGGCTGCTTGAAAAACTTGGTCAAGCCACCACATCATCAGAAAAAAGCTTTCATCTGTTCATATAGAACCTTGGTCTAAGCATTTAATTAAGGATCACTTTTTTTTAATTAAAAAAAATATTTTTTTTAAAAATGCCAACTTTCTATTTGAAAATGTGAGAACCTGTAATCAAACTATATATTTATTTTAACTTAATAAAGTGTAGATGTTTTAATTTTATTGCAGATATGTAACCATCATTGGAAACTGAACATGACATAATTGATTTCAGCAGACGTCAGTCTACAAAATAATTTTTACAAAATTTAGTGTTTTTGTACAATTAGCGTGTCTGATTTTAAAACTGAAAAATTGAGATACATATACTTTTTAAAGATGTATTTAAATTCAATTTGAGGTTTGTTTAGATTTAACTTTTATAACTGCCTGATATTTGATCACTTTTTATATGTTGATCCACCCTGGATTTTAACACTGGCCTTATTCTTTTGCTTTTACAAGTTCTTTTAACTGGGAATTATGAAAGTATTGTAATTATTTGACATTTTATAGTGTGGAAAGTATTTTTATGGATTTTCTCTTTGCTGATTTGGCTATTATAATTTATTAAAAATCAAAGTGATGCACTGACTAATAATAGAAAAGAGTGTGATTCAGATCAAGATGAATGATAACTAAGTCAGACCAACTCAGAATGGGGACTGTATGTTGCCCTCTGAATTTTGAGTCAGAGTAGTGAACAGGACTACAAAATGCATTCAAAATAGGTAATTAAATTGTTTGAGACCACTCTATTTTGAGATGTATAACTAAATAAAGACATGATAATGTGAATTATTTAGGAGCAGAATTTAAAGAGTATCAATTAATGTCTCTTGTTTGTTTGGAGATATTTGTTGTTATAAAATTATTTTTTATTTGCTTATCACGGTGATTTCATGTTTAAACTCATTTGTCAATCATTTCTTCTACAATACATTCACTGGTAAAAAATAATGGTGGCTGAACTTTACTAAAATAGCCTAATTTTATTTTATAGTCAATCATTCATTTGATGTTTTTGTAATTTATGAAACTGTGATACTTTTGGAATTACTTCTGGTTGATTGCATTGTAACCAGGTCTAGAATGTTGTATATAATAGGTTTAGACTATTGTATATATATAATAGGTTTAGAATGTTTTACTCCAATTCAAAATAGTCTTACCATAATACTACTTCAGGTGTAGCTAAGTGGGAACCTTAGAAAATGTAAAAATAAAAATAGAACTTATATCACAGCCAGAAGATTCCATTCCCCCTTCAACGGTTGTGGCACTAAAAATCAAATAAAGAGCAATAATGATAATATTATATTGTGTTAATTATTATTTTATTGATTTATGCAATCTTGTATCTTCAGGGATGCCAGATATTTTAAAAAAAATTGTTTATCCCAAACAATTTAACCCATCATGGCCTGCTGCAAAAAAGATTTATAGCTATGGCATATATATTTAAAAGCATTTAAATTCAAGATGTTTGATTTAAGATTAATCCGTTCTATCAAATCGCATTTTCACCAGTGAAAGTGTTTGGATTTACTGATCACCACATCATCTTGTTCACTAACATCACTGAAGTATAGACAGAACAGGATGATTATATATGTGTTTTGTAAATAGTGTTGCTACTGTGTGCTGTTTAAAAAAAAAATCAAATTATGGCCTCTTTATAATGTGGAAAACATTGGCTTTTAATCTTTTTAAAAAAAATTAACTTGTTTTTTTGTGAGTCAAATTTAAAAAAACAACAAACTAATGAGCAGCAATACGGACTATAAACATATTTTCTATAACTTGTAGCTCCCACTTTTTAATATACTCCTATTAGCATTTTTAAAACTTGTTTATTATCACAATAAAATTTAATTAATTTACATGTATAAAAAAAAAAAAGAATGATTGGTATTTACAATTCCTTTTAATATGTGAACAGAATATTTCTTATTAAGAATGAATTTCAAAAGCATGTGAGAAAAATATATTGAATTGTGCAAAATGGATTGAGTGTAATACTTTTATAATAAAAATAATGTTCAATTCCAACAATATTTTTGAAACTCATCAGTAATAAAATTATTATTGAAAGATTTTACTTTAACTATAGACATTCTCAATGTATATTAACTATAGACATTCTCAATGTATATTAACTATAGACATTCTCAATGTATAAAGACTCTCCCCCTCCCCCTTCCTTAAAATGAAAACACTAAGTCTCCCTAAATCTTAAAACAAGGATAAGAGTCTGATCCAATAAACTTATATTTCTGCACCAAAAAAAAAATCTTGTACATTACCAAATACACTTATTTTCATTTATTTTTAAAAAACATTCCAGTGGCATTCTATAATTTATATATTATTTTCATTTCATGCAAACCATGAAGACAAACACTCAGCAATATCTGTAATGTTAAAACCTTGGAGTAGAAGAAACTAATATGAAATTACTTACATAAATTTGACACACTACAGAACATCAATTGAGCAATAAATTATCCATTCTCTCCAAACAATTTGAAGGATGCTCTAAAAATTAGGGTTCATATTTTGATAAATAAATAAATCTATAACAGAGGTCAGTCAAGAGCACCATGCATGTCATAATTAATGTTACGAATTAATCCCTTGCAAGTAGATGGAATGGGCTGTTTCATTTACTAATTGAGGTAAGTCATTCTTTGGTGTATTGGAAAATGAAATGTGGAATCAATTAGATAAGACTCTAGTGACCAGTGGTATTCAACACCGACCACATGGAAGGAGGGGGGTGGGGTTTCCCCATGACTTTGATTGGTCCTGATCCTATAATAAAAGTTGAAAACATTTGTGTAAATAGTTTACAGATTAAAATAATGTATCTCTATGTGCCTAGGTACATCTTTAACAATTTCTTGAAATTCATGTTCATTTTGTATTAAATATTTCAAAAAATATATATTTAAAATAATTTATGTACTGATAATTTTTTTTAATGGCAGAATGACTAAAATACTTTATATTTTATTCAAACTCAATACAGTAACTGTCTTTTTTTATTAAAAAATGTGAAAGATTATTTTAAAATACCTGTATCAGTTATGATTTAAAATATGCTCCACAACCACCAGTGACCACCACAATGTAGGCATACTATCAAGGATCTACCAGGCACACAAGAAATTTACTTAATTGTCAACTCATATCCTAAAAAATCTTTCATTAAATTAAGGATCTTGGACCAGAAGATCAATAGACCCAGTGCATTAGAAAAAAATTAAGAGGCCATAATTTAAAAACAAAAACAAATAATTTTATTATAGCACCATGTGAACAAGAAATCAGCTTCATAGCAAGTTCATATGAAATCAGGATAGAAATAAAGTTTTTTTTAAAAGGAAGAATGATTAGTTCAATGAGTGAACTACATTTTAATTACACCCTTGAGAGTTGCGTGAAACGTCTTTAAAAATTTCAAACTCTCAAATATGAAAAAAGTTTTCCCTCACCAAAATGATAAGACAAAAATAGATACCGGTAGTCCAACTGCCAGGTGTTACACATATCTTTAATTGACATAAATATTGCAATAGGCTTTCATGTGAATAATGACATCACAAAACTGATTATTAAAATTATCATAACTGTTCACCCTACCAGTTGGAAATGCTGGTTACATTTGCAGAATAAGCAAAAACACAATAGATGTGAACAAAGAACTGTAAAAGTAACCATTAATTAAATAAACCATGATATCAAAGCTTTTCCCCTCTAAGGCACTTGCAAGGTTAAAAATATCCCCACTTCAGGCCTTTTTCAATGTGGATTCATGAAGATGAGACAATATTTATGCAGTAGAGCCTCGATTATCCTAAGTAAGATTCCTGGGGTGAATAAATATCTTTATGTGAGGTGGACGGATTGGGGTAGGTGGGGCAAATTTAATGTTGATATATGCAGAGGACCTGGTGGCACTGAATACCTCTCAACCAAGAGGTAGCAGATTCAAACTCTCCCCAGCCATGGGGAAAAATTTCTAGTAAGGTAGCCATTCTTTGGGAGGAAATGAATTCTGGGGAGGGGGGGGAGGGGAACAGCAATTCAATTGTCAAAGTCAAGAGATGGGATTAAACATTGGCCATCTTCCTTTTCCAACACACTCATAGTATGCATATTTTGAAAGTAATGAACTATGGAACTCTGTTGACGAGGGTTGAATTTAACATAATTAGAACTCAAATAAGTACTATTGCACTCTAATATGAGTGGGGCAATCGAGACTCCACATAGAAATAAACACAGTGACGTTTAGAGTAATGGATTTTCTCAGGTTAGGAAACGCCCTCATCAATTCCAGAATCTTTTGACACTGTGTTCACTGTTTCTGTGACGCTGACAACTTGACCACTGAGTATTTCATTGTTGTTTTCAAACCCGTCGGTTTTAATTTCAAGCTCATCTGGGTCGCTCGTCGCAGTTAGTGTTCGAATTTTATTGTCCATATTTTCACGAGAGATTTTCTCGACCAGATTGGAATCTGTTTTCTGGTTGTCATCTTGTTTGGATGACTCATAGCTTTTGGTCAGAGGAGAATCATCATAATCATCATCCCCTATCTCCATGTCGGCAATAACGGTAGAACTTATGTAATCGACGTCCTCTAAAAATTCAGAGTCTTCTTTTATGGAGAAGTCTCCTATGTAGTCGTCTTCAATGTATGCATTTTCTCCAGACAGTTCTAAGTAATAATAGACGATGGTATATATTTATTAAAAATGTAGTTTATTTTACAGATCAAAGTATATAAAATATTTCGATACAAAGATAACATCTGTTCTGAGCAATAAAAAAGTAAGTTTTGCATAGTGATGGGATAAGAATGATGTCTTTGTTGTTCCGCCCCAACCCGAAAATTAAAAATAATTATAACCTAATTATCTATTGCATTACTTTGTAATGTGTCAAAAATAAAATAAGTAATAATATGGGTTCTGTTTCTTTAGGAAATTTTCATACAAAACATCAGAGAATTAAAGGGAGGCTAACCTGATGTTCCATCCACATCAAGGGGACCAAGAAAAGAATCCAATGCAACCTTGTCTTCCTCAATAACAATCTCACTAAGACTAGTAACCTTTGGAAATTCTTTTGTAATACCTGAGGGAAAAAAATGTCACTAAAATTCTAGAAAAACCCAAGAATTATATATTCTTAGGTAGGAGATGGCCTCCATGTGTGCAATTAACTTTAAAAAAAACAACCTTACCAGAAAATTTCCTTTATAAAAAGATTTTGGCAATTTAAGATAAAATAGAGATTAATATGCTAGTCCCTGACTCTTAGCCTAATTTCTTCTTCACATTGTGCATTATTAGGATTAAAAAGAAATGCTATTAATTTACATCATGAAAACTGCTGGCTAACTTTTTAAAAAGAAATCAAAATCACTTACGATCTGGATGTCCATGAGTACGGTAGAATTCCAGATCCTCCTTAAAAGCTGAAGTGAATGCTTCAGCTCTCTCCTGCAGATTTACTCTCTTGTCCAACTCTAGCTTGGTCATTTTTTTAGCATGCGTCTGGGCCATTTCAACTGGTGTACAAAAATATTTGCTCTTAATTAAAAGAATAGATTAACAGATAGATTTTAAAAAAACTTCAAATTGACTTTTTCATATTTGAATGAATTGAACTGACTTTGAAGCTTATGCAAACAACAAGACTTATTATGTGTGAAATGAATTTCATAGGAAATATTCGAATGAATCTAAATTATTTAATCGACTGTTTGCTTTTCTGTTGCCACAAACTAAAATAGCATGCATCATCATCACCCTGTTACAGTGGCCATTAGGGCTTGTCTTCTTGGGTCTGAGGCCATGGTGAAAAAATGTGTATGTTTTCTTAGTTGAAACACGTCATTTGAAACAGATGAGGTTCATTTCTACAAATAAAGATCAAATTAACCTACCTTTAATTTTGTCAGCTTCTGCCTCTTTATGCAGCTTGTACACTGTCAACTTCCTCTGTTCTTCGAGGCACTTTTTTTTTAACTCTTGTTCTTCACAAAGGTTTTCAAGAATGTCAAGTCCCTTTTCTGCTCTCGTAAAATCATGTCGCAAACTCACTGCAAATTTATATATATATGATGCTAATTTTAAAAAAAGAAAGGCTTACTTAAATAATATAACTAATTTTATAATTCCACAAAAAAATCAATGACATAATGTAAATTTTTCCAAGGAATACAACAATTTGTAATAAACTTTAAGAAGGATCCTCACCATTAGGTGGATTTGTAATGTAAATAATGATAGACTATTTGTAAAGGACATATTTTTTATTTTCCGTATCAGAAACCAACAATTATATTTAAATATTTATTACAGATGCCAGAACGATAAAAACTATAGTATATGCTGATAAAAATTTACAAGTGGCTCCTATAAACTCTTTGGTGGCACTGAAATGAAAGAAAAGGAAACAAAAACTGTGAAAAGCAATGATCAATAGATTATTTTACCCAGCAGACTCTGTAGCTGCTCAAGAGTGGCGAGAATGCTAGGGATAGTTTTTACTTCTTCTTCTAGCTGAGACACAGACTCTCCGCATTTATCCCACACTTGGAACATTGGGTTCAGTCGAATGCTCACCTCCTAGCCAAAAACATAGATGTTAGAACGATAATCTTCTAAAGAATTCCAAACTATTCAGATTATTTAATAGTTTAACATTGGAAAAAAAATCAGTTTTGAAAGAAATCCTGATGCTGATCTTTTACACTCTATCATTCCCAACCATCAACTTTCACAAAATTATTGACACACAACTCAGAAAATTATAAAAAAATTAATTACAGAGCTTGGAAAGTCTCCTGGGTTTGCCATATAATTTCTCATAAAAATTAAGTGAAAACTAAAAATATTGAAAAGTACTGTCAGTTGTTTATTAAAATGGATTCACAGTTCTGCTTCATCTGGTGAGATTCCATATGCTTAAAATGAAAAAAAAATGCAGTGGGAAAACATTTTTCTTCAATATTTAATCTTACGAACTGAAATTTTGCAGATGATTAATATATAAAGCTATTTTAAACAACTGTTTTCATGAGTGACATCAACAAAAATCAATCTAATGTTTTGACTTCAGCCTCTACAACTTTTTTGGTACAAATTACTATTTACATAATAAATACAAATGTTTTGAAAAATCTCATTTAAGGTATTCATTACTTTAGTATACATTGAGGATTTATGATTACGCCCATTTAATTAAAAAATTCTATTATAAAATTAGCTAGTTTTCTATTCTTCAGCATCATTTTAATGTTAAGATTTAAGAGCTAGAAATAAAATAGACATACAATTTTGTGATGTAGCAAATGAGAGTTTGTGAGGTGGCAAATTAGAGATCAAATATGCATACAATTTTGTGATGTGGCCAAATACTACATATGTTTGTGTTTTGCATTTATTTGTGAACAAGCCATAAATAAGCCGATTTGAGCTAATCTTGGGTTAAAAGTTACCTCTGCTTTTTTTGCAGACTCCTTGGTATCTACCTGGATTTCCGACCATATTTGCTGATAGCTATGAACAAAAATGAAGAGGGGTGTATGTAAAATCATATTTATTTCAAAAGTCAACTAAAAACAAAACTGCAGCCTTATTTGAAATATTTATTTTAAGATAAAGAAAATTACTTTTTTAGTAAATATCTGCTAATCTGAAGATTTTAAATATGCAAGTAGTAATCAACTTGGGGGGGCAAAAAAAATAATTGAAGCCGCTTTTACTGCTATAAAGCACTTCCCAGAATAATCTTTAAGTTGCAGCATCTAAGCCAAGGTGAAAGTATGCCTATGGAAAAAAGGTAATATAAGGGGACTTAGCATTTTCTTGCTATGAGTTTATGGTTGCCTAATAAAACTTTAACAGCTCTCAATTTATAAAAGACAAGCAAATGTGGCAATGTGCCACTTTTTGTAACTTTTATGTATCATTTTTTATATGTGGTGGGGTGCCACCTATGTTTGCAGGGTGCAACCCATGGGGCAAAGAAAACATGCTCCTGTGACACGATTTTTTATCCATGTTTACACTCACTGAGATGGGCATCCTGTCCCACGGCGGACTGGTAAACAGTTCATGACGTGGACATCATTTTAAGATTACATAAGGCAGTGGGGATTTAAACCCGGGGCCTTTTCTGTTTCTGAGCTGAATACGAGAAGTCAGCTGTGTCTGATACTGAGTAAATACACTTTAGATATTGTGTGTGAAAACGGATACTTTGAGTCGGCTGCATGTGTGAGCGATTTTCCTGTCAGCTGTGTTCAACGAATTTTACCTCAACATTAAAAAGGTATAGTTCTCAGACTTGATTGCTTGTTTGTGATTTTTAAACTGTTAGCCACGCCACCACATGGCAACACAAAAATTGTAAGAAATGTAATGTTCAACAAGTGAAGACATTTTATTGAGAAGCATGATCCGCTTGATTCTAATTTTAACTACTTGATCTGACTAGATAAGTCTAAAGTCAACTGCAGAAAGCTTTAAGGTATTTTTCTTGGTGTGTGATGGATTTTGAATTTACAAAGTAGACTGATCTAAAGGCCATAAAGTGCCAATACGGACTCATAAGATCCCAATGTCTGTTGTGGATATTCCTTCCTCAAAATAATTTTACCAAACATATTGGAGAAAGGGGTTTAAATCAGGAGAAATCTATATGCTTTTATTGACAATGGTTGTCTGAACAAACGGATGTGATGAAAAGTTTAGGGTTAGTAAGTTTTAGGAGCTTCATACAGTAAAATTGCAGGAAGAAGTTGCTTGGTTGAAATTAACAATGAAAAAAAACAACTTTTAACAATTGGATGTTGTGTCGGAGATGTGGCCTCAAACCTGCAAATGCATAAAGATTTAATAAAATATATTACAAAAAATAATTTGAAACTAACCTAAAAAGTAATTCTGCTCCAACATCTAAATTGATCTCTCTTGACTTCAGGTTGCGCAGCTGCTCATGTCTGGGCTGGCTATCAGTTGAAGTTAGTGTGCGCAAGCTACCAGTTATGAAAAAAGATGAATGCAAGATAAAGTAAAATCAAGTAAGATTAATCAGATAAATATATTATTAAGTTAAACACAATAACAATGATAGAAACTGACTATTTCTTTTAAAATGTCAAATAGGACATTTTCTAGGCCCCCATACGTCAGCACATTGAAATTGAATGAATGAATAATTTGAGTTAAATAATATTTTAAATTTTTTCATTAAAATAATAAATATTTTATTTATAAATAAAAAATAAATTCTGCTTTATAATTATTAAGTCATTGTCCACTAATCCATGGATGAGTGTATCCATGGGGGGCGTAGGGCCAACTCATTATTATTAGGCATTACAGACAAAAAGAAAATCTTGGAAAGAAGGACGGGACACTTTGAAAGTGTGCTCAATACGCCTTCCAACATTAATGATGAGGCCATTGAAAGACTCCCCCCAGGTTCCACGAACAATTCACTAGACGCCGTCCCAACTTTTGATGAGATACAGACAACAATCCGCCAAATATCCAATGGCAAAGTACCTGGCACCGACATGATTCCTGCCAAAATCTACAAAGAGGGTGGACCAGCACTGACGGATAAGCTATTGTGTTTATTCCAGATCATCTGGCAGACAGAAACTGTACCACAAGACCTCAAGGATGCCTCAATTATCCACCTGTACAAACACAAAAGGAAACCGCCAGGCCTGCGACAATCACCGCAGAATTTCACTACTGTCCATTGCAGGCAAGATCTTGGCCCGAGCCCTTCTGAACCGTCTGAATGCACATCTGGAGCTAGGACTCCTACCCGAAAGTCAATGCCGTTTCCGCAAAAAACGCGGAACTATCAATATCGTGTTTGCTGCTAGACAGCTTCAAGAGAAATGCCAGGAACAAAATACTATATTCTACATTTATCTACTTAAATAAGGCCTTTGACAGGGTCAATAGAGGTGGCCTGTGGAAAATCATGAAGAAATACTGATGCCCAGACAAGTTCACCAAAATCATCCGTCAGCTGCATGATGGTATGATGGCCCGAGTGCAGGACAACGGTAAATCGTCTCAGGCATTCCCTGTCACAAACAGTGTAAAGCAGGGTTGTGTTCTTGCTCCCACACTCTTCAGTATTATGTATTCTGCAATGCTGTCTGATGCGTTTAAGGACTCCACCACGGGCTTGCCAATCCGGTTTCGTACTGATGGATCAGTATTTAACCTTAGGAGGCTTCAAGCTAAAACCAAGGTCAAACATACCACGATCAATGAGCTTCTGTTTCCAGACGATTGTGCCCTCAACGCTCCCTCAGAAGTCGTCATGCAACACAGCCTTGATATCTTCTCTGAGGCCTGCAATAACTTTTGCCTCACAATCAATACAAAGAAGACTGAGGTGATGTATCAGCCAGCTCCCAGTAAGCCCTACGTTGAACCCAACATCATCATAAGTGGACAGCGTCTCAACCCGGTGGATAAATTTACTTACTTGGGCAGCACCCTCTCCAGATCTGTCGTCATGGATGATGAAATGAATGGCAGACTCGCAAAAGCTAGTGCCATATTTGGCAGACTACGCAGCACTGTTTGGGACAGAAGAGGTATCAGACGAGAAACAAAGCTCAAGGTCTATAGCGCAGCAGTCCTCCTGACACTGCTCTATGGATGTGAAACGTGGACAGTCTACCAGTGAATCATTTTCACACTACCTGCCTCAGGAAACTCCTTGACATCAGGTGGCAAGACAAAGTCCCTGACACCGAGGTCCTCGCTAGAGCGAACATACCAAGTATCTTCACCACTCTGATTCAGTCTCAGCTCCGTTGGGTGGGACACGTAGCCCATATGGAAGACCACCGGCTCCCGAAACAATTATTCTTCGGAGAACTCACGATAGGTACGCGCTCCCAAGGAGGTCAAAAAAGGCATTACAAAGACTCACTGAGAGTGGCACTAAAGGTCTTCAGTATAAACCCTACTCAATGGGTGCAGACAGCTCAGGACAGAGCCAGGTGGAGAGCTGCTGTCAAGAAGGGGACTAAATCCCATGAAGCTAATAGAATAACCACAGCTGAGACACACAGGCTTGTCCGAAAGAGCAACATTAGGTCACCGTCTGAAGCAACTATTCCATGCCCACGGTGTCATAGATTATTCCGAGCAAGGATCGGTCTAGCAAGCCACCTACGACATCACCGTAATCCCAACCTCCCCCAACCGGATGACTCGATGGTCCTAGTCGACTTCGACGGATGAACAACAACAAATTAGGCATTAGGAAAATATTTTGTATAAATATAGTAGGCCCTTAAAGCCTATAGGAACTATACATATAAATGTTAATGTTATAGCCTAATATTTAAATTAACTAGTTAAATTAGTAGTTTGTTACTGATTCAAGTGTAACCAGACTGATTCAATTACTACACTAGTATCAATTATAATCATCATAATAATAGACCTAATTATGATTAATTTATATTTATAATCAAATTTAAAAGTAATTAGGCTAATAATACTAATAATAAGTATAATAACTAAAATTAAGTAAATTATTAATAAGTCTGACTCAAGACTATGACAAAAAAATGAGTTAGTAATTATTAAGTGAAGTTACTCTAAAATTTAAAAGTTTTAGACAAGACATTGACAGTAGACTTAAGTAGACAGTCTAAGACAGTTGTCAGTTGAGTGTTACACCTTTTAAACAAAACTAATAAAACTCAACTTTTAAAATGATTGTGGCGATAAAACCAAGAAATTATTCGCATGATTATTGTGCAACTTTAACTTACCCATCCACTATATCTTGTTGCACATTTTGAAATGTCCCTTTAAGCTTTTTGAAAACACTCATGGTATATTCTTTTTACTGAGTTCCAATTGAAATTGTGGTAATTGTTAAGTAAACAGCTGCTTATCTATTTGACAAGGCCTACCCACCATCTTGTATGTCACATGACAAAAATAGCATGTGATCTTTAAAAAAAAAAAAAAAAAAAAAGTTATCGAAAACGAAAGTACTTTGTTTAGATAAACTTGCGCAAATTAGTTCTTTTCTTTGATGTTTATAAAATCCAAATGAAACAGTCATAAATTGTGGTAATTGTTAAGTAAACAGCTGCTTATCTATTTGACAAGGCCTACCCACCATTTTGTATGTCACATGAAAAAAATAGCATGTGATCTTTAGAAAAAAAAAAAAAAAAAAAAAGTTATCGAAAACGAAAGTACTTTGTTTAGATAAACTTGCGCAAATTAGTTCTTTTCTTTGATGTTTATAAAATCCAAATGAAACAGTCAAAATACAATAGAATATATGTACGTCTCCAAATTAATTAATTTATACTGATTTGTATCCTAATGTCCAAACAAAAATATGCACATTTAGCCAATTTTAAAAAAAAAAATCTTTCTGTATTGAAATTGAACAACTGACTTCCGGCTATGAGAAGTCGAATCAAATTTTCATGTTTAGCATAATAATATAATATACTTCACGAGTGATCGTTTGTTTATAACCCGTAAAACCTATTGATGTCCTTTGCGGCTTTGGCTTTTGGGGTAAGGGTCATTCATTAGTGAGTAGGCCTATCTAACTATTAAATGCGGCGGTAAATTCGTAGTTGGTGGCTGTCTCAACTGTCTAAGTCTAAGTTAAGACAGTTAAGAGTAAGAGTACTCTTGAGTCTGATCTGTGATCAGTCTGAGTGTAATTTATAATTTTTAATTTACTCTCACACTCTGTAATCTGTAGTACTCCAACACTGTTCGTAAGTAATTGTACAACTGTATACTGCTGTACTGTATAGTGTATAGTATTGTCATAGTTGGTCAGTTAGTGTACACAGCTGTACTGTATAGGGACTGAGTCACATGACTATTAACATATAATTATAATATTATAAATATAATATAAAAGTTTTTAAAAAAATATTTTTAATTATACTTCATTTGGACTAGGGACTAGGATTAGGAGGTCATGAAGTGTTACAATAATAAGTACCGGCATACTGACACTGAGCATTATTTTTTGCAGCATAGTCATAGTCTATTAACTCATTCCCTCCTGCAATACTACTTCCGTATTTAATTTATTTGCCTGAGAAAGGGAAGTAACCCCGTTTTGAAATTGTTTACATTTTTTAAATATGTATTTAAGCTACTAAATATTATTTAATGTTAATGAATTAAGAACAATTGCAACAAAAAATGAATAAGGTTATAATAAATATAACATTAGCGGGGAAAAAATAACGAACAATGACCAAAAAATCGATTTTCGGCACCTCGGACGAACACATGCTACATATAGATGCGCCATACTAAAGCACACGTAGTTTTAAAGTGAAACAAGATAAAAACTTCCGGTTTTTAAATTAAAATCACGCTGAACCACGCCATCGCCGGAAGTCCAGAGGGATGCGAGATTTCATTGCTATTTTTAAATAGATATGAGAGAGGTGTGTTGTTATGTGCCGGGACGCATTTGGACGCATCCGGCGAAACCCGTAAAAGACGCATTTAGTCGCAAACGTCGGGAATGAGTTAATTACTACTCCATGCCATAGACAAATGTCAATTATGTAAGGGGCCATCCATAAATGACGTCACGCGCCTAGGGGGAGGAGGGGGGTCAGATTTTTGTGACGAGGGGGAGGGGGGGGGCTCAAGCAATGTGACGTCACATGAAAAGCGGAATATATTAGAGTAAAGATTTGCACTTAAAACTAAATTACAGACATTTTTAACATTATTCTTTTATACAATTATAATTATTTTATTTTTAAACTACTATCACTGAGAGAATGAGTACAGGCAGGGCCGGCGCTAGGGGATGGCGAAGTGGGCGACCACACGTTGCCGAAGTATATTTATAATATACCTCAGCCTGCCAATAGTTCCTAATCCCCCCACCGTATAAATTACATTGTAATAAAATTGAAAATAATTAAATAATTTAGCTATCGTAGTTTTATTTCTTTAATTAACTTTTTATAAACGGGAAAAAATTACCAATAGACGCAATGCGCCAATGAAACTCAGCATTGGCTGCTGCTCATCAAAATCCATAAAAACTTGCTTATTTTTTTTTTAAAGCATCAACAACTAGAAATGGCATCAAATACAATCAGTGGCGTAGCTAAGGTTGGTGTCACCTGGTCCGGTAAGCTCGTGGTTTCACCCACCCAACCCACCTTTTCACGATGTATTTCTTCTTGTTAAACTTAGTCCACAGTATAAGAAATACAAGAACAAAAACAAATTAATTGAAGCTAAGGAGGTAAATGTATTTCAGAACTGTAACTTGTACTTAGAATCGCCAATTGTTATCAAAGGATAGTTGTATTTCTTAGAATTTAGATAAAAATAACTTCCTGAAACTTACAAAAGTTACCGAACACTTCATTCGGCGTTGAAACATGGTCAAAACGGTGTGTTTCTGACCTAATTTTATAGTAATCTAATTGCCTTGGCCTCGACCTTGAAATTTTAATATTAACGAAACACGCATTTTGATTGGTTACACGGGTAGAAAATGTACATGTCATCTGTTATCCTTTTATGAATTTCGGTTAGACCGAACAGTGTGTGCTCTGTAAATACGTTATTTTTCAATTTGGTGTCACCTCTGAGATGCTGTCCGCACCCCTCTAGCTACGCCACTGAATACAAATTTTTGGTCTTCCAAACCTCAAGGCTGGCGAGGTACTTGTACTCCTGGTTAAGAACCACTTATCTAGTGAAATGTTTCTGTCACGGGTGCAGTAATTTGATATTCATGGGAGGCGAATTTCTTAAGGGTTTGTAAAGGACAGTAGTGAACTCAGGGACTTTTTATAGGGGAGGGGGTGCAGAGATTTGTGACGTCATATTTGAGGGGGGTTTAACTTTTTGTGACGATTTGTGACAATTTGTGACAATGGGGGGAGGGGGGTCAAAAATTGGCAAAATTTGCGTGATGTCATTTATGGATGGCCCCTAATGACAACATGATAATGTAATTGTCAAATGTACTGTACTATATAAATATACTAATCTAATAAAAATAATTTTATGTAATATTATATTATGTAGGGTAGGTAAGCCTACAAACTTTTCTTTTATTCATAATTAATAATTTATATTTATATATTGTATACTAAATAATACTGTTGTATGTTAACTTATTAGGCTTAGGCCTATACTATACTATAATATACAAGGGCCCTTAGGCTAGATAGAAGATAGAAGGCCCATCTCTCCATTATCCATTAATTTAAAAAAAAATTAAAGCCTTACACTTTATGACATACTCATTTAACTCATGGGCATATGCCATAGGCCCATAGCTAAAACTCTAAGTCATAACACTACTCTACTCACTAACCTTATGACAGGAGTCTGAGATGTCTTGAAAGTATTTTTTAATTAAATTAAGTTCGTGTCTAGTGTGAATATCTAATAATATAAAAAAAGGGCAAGCTTAAAAGAGACAGAGTTAAAGTTAAAGATTTTCAACCCTTGTTAACTTTGCCAATGTGGCTTGGTACCCTCTGAACTGTGCAATAATGATACTGAACAAGTAATCAAATCAATATAATGCCCCTAACATTAGCTTTTAGTCTACTAACCTTTGATTAGCAAATATGAACCATATTTTACATATCCTGATCACAGTCATCAACAGCCCCCCCCCCCTCCCTAAAATGAATCAGCTATTTTTTACCACCTTAAATTTAAACTTATCAATTGTTAACTTACTTTATTTCTTGACATGAACAAATAGATTTATAAAGCTGAAACAAAAAGATGGCATCTGGAAGTAGTTTGGTGGTGCCTATGGTGTTGTGGGGACGCCATGCCCCGACACACTGCATTTCTGCCATTTTGATGACGCCAGGAGGAAAATATGTTGTGACAGGCTGTAATGATGGACAGATATGTGTTTGGGATGTCATGGAACATTTTCAGGTATTCAACATAATTTGGTATAGAAAGTTTTGTTAAAAGTGGTGGTGGTTGTGAAAAGGATATCTTCTCAAATTTTTAAAATAATGGTTAATGAGCATTTAATAAATGATAAATGTATTTCATCCAGATGAATCTTGATGTAATATTGTATAATTGCAGCAATTATTAAGATATAGGAAAGTGCTAATGTGTCAGCTTGATATAACTTATAGGAAACTCTATAGTATTTTACATACTACGTCATTACATTTCAAAGTTAAAAAGTTAAAGTTTTCAGCTCACCTATAATAATGAATATTGAATTTTAATATTTGAATTAATTGCAATATGTAAATTAAATAAAGTAATAACAAATTTGATAATTTTATTTGACTTGTTAATGAATACTTAATTTTGTGAGCAGAGTGGGGGAAAAAAGACACCAAATAACCTGATGTTGTAATTCTTGTTTCTCAATTTATTATGAATATAGTAAGGTTTGGATTTTTAAAGATTTAATTTTTTGTCGTGTAATATCAATTGCAGTACTTGACCCTTTGACAGTTGAAAAAATTATTTAGTGGCATCTTGAAAGAAAATTAGCACACAAAAAATATTTGGCTTAGTTCATAACAATGTTAATTTAAAAAAATTTTTTTTTAGGTTGCTCCAAGAAACATGTTGTTTGGCCACACAGCAGCAATCAGCTGTTTGGCAATGGGCAGTGAACACAAGGAGCGCTGCTACATAGTCAGCTCTTCAGAAAATGGGTATGTTCAAATTTGTTTTGAATTACAATTGTTCAGCTTTGTTTGGTAACTTTTTAACAAACGTAAATGTATTGTAAGCCAATTTAGGTGTAAGTTGAGCAGGTAATGAGGAGAGTGTATTGGGTAGAAAGCTCTTGTCGAGGCCATTGAAATTTTCAAAGATATCACAAACCAATATCAATTAATGCTTTGGAAAGAGAATGGTAGCCCTTTTTTTTTTCCTCTATGAACTTTAAAATTTGCTGGGGACTCCAAAAAATGTGCTACAGTGGGGAT